GGTCTACCAACGCCGGCTCTAATTTTTTTGTTTTTTTGTTTTTGTTGTTTTTTTTTTTTGAGACGGAGTCTCGCCCTGTCGCCTAGGCTGGAGGTGCAGTGGCGCCATCTCCTGCCTCACTGCAAGCCTCCGCCTCCCGGGTTCACCCTGTTCTCCTAACTCTGGCCTCCCGAGTAGCTGAGACTACAGGGGCGACCGCCACCATGTCTGCTAATTTTTTTTTGTTTTTTTTTAGCATGGGAGTCTCGCGCCGTTAGGTCGGCAGTTGCAAGTGCGCGGCGGATCCGGCTCGCTGCAGCTCCGCCTGCTCAGGTTCAGCGCCATTTCTCCTGGCCTCATTCCTACCAAGTAGCTGGGGGACTCAGGGCGTCCCGCGCCAATGCCCTGGCTGAATTTTTTTGCGTTTTTTAGTAGAGACGGGGTTTCACCAGGTTAGCCAGGATGGTCTCGATCTCCTGACCTCGTGATCCATCTGCCTCAGCCTCCCAAAGTGCTGGGATTACAGACGTGAGCCACCGCGTCCGGCATTTTCTTTTTCTTTTTGGTAGAAACGGAGTTTCACCATGCTGGCCAGGCTGATCTCTAGCTCTAGACCTCAGGTGATCCACCCGTCTCAGCCTCCCAAAGTGCTGGGATTACAGGCGTGAGCCACCACGCCCGGCCTGCTTGTTGCAGAAATTCTTACTGTAGAAAATGAAAGTGGTTCCTCAGAAGTACCATTTTGGTGTCCATCTGTCTCTCATGTGTTCACACATGCATCAGGGAGATAAGCTCTGATTCTGTTGTCTGCTCCATAGTTAATATTAACATCATTAGTTTCCTTTTTTTGTCACGAGGTGCTTTATTTTCATTATTGATACAAATAATTTTCTATAATACCCCGGTCAAATGGGAGAATTTGGCAGTCCGATTTCGGGGGGGCGTTCACCACAGAGACCCACAGGCTGGTGGCGTCGGTGCTGAGTGCCCAGGTTCACAGCACAGCTTGTGGCTTGTGTCCATCTTGCAGGTGGCTCTTCCTTGCACATCACGACTGGGGTCTCGGGGGTGAAGGGGGCAGGAAATCCTCCAGACTCTTAGGAAATTTCACTCCACTTCTCCTGCTCAATGGCCTCTGGTGGGCAGGGTGTGTTGTTCTGTGTCTCCGTTTTCTAGCTTGGCCTTATTGAAGTTGGAATTCATATCTGTTGTCATTTTCACTTTTTTTTGTTTGTTTTCGAGCCAGGGTAAGGCTGGAGTGCAGTGTTGTGATCATAGCTCACCACTTCAACCTTGAATATCTGGGCTAAAACGATCCTCCTGCCTCAGCCCCCGAAAGTATTTGGATTACAGGTGTGAGGCACCGCACCCAGAGCATTTTTGCTTTTGGAAATTACCTGTTTATGTCCTTTGCCTATGCCTGTTCGTTTGGGTTTATTTAGAAGGTTTTAATACTTATTTAGGAAATCTGTGTGATAGTGTTTTTCTGTTACAAGCTAGGAAAGCTTGTGAAAGTCAGATTTAGAGAGTCTTTTAGGTATTAAAAATGATGTTTGTGAAAAGCTTCGAAAATGCTTATGATAAGTGAAAAAAGCAGGAAAATTGTATATGCGGTTGGGTAGGACTACATAAAACTGCACAGGAAAGCTGAAATAAAATTGTCAAAAGGAATTGTAGTTAACTGAACATGCACAGTAGCTAGTTGATCAGTGAAACTCGCCGCTTTTAAAAATTTTGGGCCTGGCAAGGTGGCTCTTCTGCCTATAGCCCCAGCACTTTGGGAGTCTGAGGGAGGAGGTTTGCTTGAGCCCAGGAGTTTGCACCCCTGGCAACACCGTGAGACCCCCCATCATTACAAAACATTTAAAAAATTAGCCACATGTAGTTGCACATGCTAATAGTTCTGGCTACTTGGGAGACCAAGATCACTTGAGCCCAAGAGGTTGAGGCTGCAGTGAGCTATGACTGCGCCACTGAACTCCTGCGTGGACGACAGACCAAGTCCCTGTCTCTGAAAACAGAAACAGAAACAGTTTCATCCTATTAAAAATCAGCGTGAACTCTATTTTCCTGATAAATCCAAGTGATAAGAAGTGTTGACATCAGTGTTCTCTGGGGTGATCATCTTTGATGTTTGAGACTAAATTGTTTCAAATACCAGTCCTGGGAGTCCTTATGTTTTCAGGCAGTGCGGGAAAACTCTGCCTTACGTTTCCACAGAGCCTCCTGCGTTTTGTACTCCAAGGATTAAAGTGTCCCCTTGGAACCAATTAGTTTTTTTGTTTGTTTGTTTTTGTGGGGTTTTTTTGTTCTTGTTTTTCTGTTTGTTTGTTTTTTGAGACGGAGTCTCACTCTGTCGCCCAGTGCAGTGGCGTGATCTCAGCTCACTAGCCTCTGCCTCCCGAGTTCAAGCAATTCTCCAGCCTCAACCTCCTGCATAGCTGGGACTAGAGACATGTGCTACCACACCCAGCTAATTTTTTTGTATTTTTAGTAGAGACGGGGTTTCACCATGTTGGCCAGGTGATCCGCCCACCTTGGCTTCCCAAAGTGCTGGGATTACAGGCATGAGCCACTATGCCTGGTCTTATTTATTTATTTTTACAGACAGGGTCTTACTGTGTTGCCCAGGCTGATATTGAACTCCTGGCCTCCCAGGTAGCAGGGATTACAGGCATGCACCACCACGCCCAGCTAATTTTGTATTTTCAGTAGACAGGGTTTCTCCCTGTTGGTCAGGCTGGTCTCAAACGCCTGACCTCAGGTGATCCGTTCTCCTCCGCCTCCCAAAGTGTTGGGATTACAGGCGTGAGCCACCGCGGCCCACCTGACAGCTTCTTCATGATAGTTTTTTGGGGGTTTTTTGAGACAGAGTCTCACCTAGGCTGGAGTGCAGTGGAACCATCACGGGACCCACTGTGACCTCTGCCTCCCGGGTTCAAGCGATTCTCCAGCCTCAGCCTCCGCAGTAACTGGGATTATAGGCGTGCACCACCACGCCGGGCCTTTTTCTTTTTTTTTTTTAAAGTAGAGACGGGGTTTTGTCATGTTGGCCAGGCTGATCTCAAACTCCTGACCTGAACTGATCCACCTGCTTGGTCTCTGTAACAAAGTACTGGGATTACAGGCCCTGTGATAGGTTTTTGGTACTTGTAAAGACAGTTATTTGGCATACCAGATAAATCCTTGTCTGGAAGATTAGTTTACAAAGGCATTGGCCCTTCAGGCGAAGCTTGCTGGTGTCAGGAGTGTTTTCTAAACTGTCCTTGCTTTGATGTAAGAAACACTGTTGGGGCGCAAGCTGGCTGCCCTGCCAGTTGCATTCGTTTAGGAGAACAGTTCTGTTGCTAAATAGCCTTTTTGCCATTTGTGAACATTTTGTTGGGGGAGAAACAAACTGCATTTTGTTTTGAAATAGGCTTTGCTGAAAGGAACGCCCAGCAGGTGGTGGGCTCCTGTCAGTGTTGTGAGACAGGCTGTCTCCTTTGGCTGCTGTGGTCACGCTCATCACGGGCTTGTTCATGCTTTTTTTTTTTTTTTGAGACAGAGTCTCACTCTGTCATCCAGGCTGGAGTGCGGTGGAACGATCTCGGCTCACTGCAAGCTCCGCCTCCCGGGTTCACGCCATTCTCCTGCCTCAGCCTCCCGAGTAGCTGGGACTACAGGAGCCGCCACCACGCTCGGCTAATTTTTTGTATTTTTTAGTAGAGACGGGGTTTCACCATGTTGGCCAGGCTGGTGTCGAACTCCTGACCTCAAGTGAACCACCACGTCCGGCCCTTGTTTGTGCTTTGACGGAAAGTATTTCATTGTATGTTGTCTGAATTGGTAAGGAAGTCATTTTAGGCTTGTTCCTTCTCACGTGTGCTGCCTGTGGTGTGCCCTGTGTCTGGGCCTCCGTCACCCTCTCAGTCACAGCCAACAGTTGACTTTATTGCTTTAGCCTCGCATTTCCATCAGGATCTGTGGTTATGACTGAATGTCGGGAATTTTAATTTTAGCATTTTCACGTTTATTTCACAGTCCGGGTGCCGTGGACACGGGTCTGTAGCCACGGATCACTGCTGCCGTTGTTCCCACGTTTCCGCGCCGTTGTGGGTAGAGTTTGGGGAGCCGGGTTATGTAGCTCCGGGACATCTAGGGATGTAAGGACCGAGACGCAACCTGTCCTCAGCGTCGGGGGACTCAGGTGTTTCACATACACTAGACAGAGCACGGCTCTCAATGTTGTGCGTGGTGACGTGTGGCAAGTGCAGCAGGGTGCCTCTCGGGCTCTGTCCGCTTCCTCTACTTATCCTTGAGGTGTGTGTTGGAGCCACACGGCCTGTCGTACCCATGAATGGATGTTCAGCTTATCTGTTCGTCTGTGACTGTGGAAGGCCACCAGCCGGACATCTGGAGGCAGCCACGTTGCCGAGGCACATGTGTGTTCATAAGGTGGGTTTCTAGAGGCCAGTGTCTGAGAAAGGCACAGGTGGTTTCACTGCTAGGTGTCGCCCATTATCCACACAGAGGCTGGTACCTCCAGCCAGCCTCCTGCCTGAGGTTTCCCCCTTGTCACACGGTACCTCATTACACCAGTCAGTAAAAATTTTTTTTTTTTTTTGAGACCAGGTCCGCTTTGTGCCCAGTGCGGAGTGCAGTGGCCCGATCGCAGCCACTGCAACTCCATCTCCCGTTTCAAGCGATTCCTCTCCCTCAGCCTCGCAAAGTAGCGGACTATACCAGGCGCCCTGCCACCACGCCCATTAATTTTTGTATTTAGTAAGACAGAGTTTTCACCATGTAGCAGGGACGGTCGTGATCTCCTGACCTCCATGATCCCCCCTCCTTGGCCTCCAAACAGTGCTGGGAATATAGGCGTGAGTCACCATGCCGCCTTACTTTTCTTTCTAAAAATAATGTGGAACCCTCATGCGTTTGTGTGTCATTCTTCTCAGGAGCGAAACAGCGGCACCTTTCTGAACAAGGATGACAGCGCCTGTGAAGAGAGGATTGAGTGTTAAGGAAGTGTGGTGGTGCCCCTGCGCCAGGCAGATTCCTTCAGATACAGACCTTTTTTGATTTATAAATAAAGCTAGGATGAGAAGTCTGTATTTTTTAGATAATTATAAGTATCACTTGTGACTTTAAAAGAACACGTGTTCTGTACCAAACTAACTTTTTTTGTTGTGTTTTTGAGACAGAGTCTTGCTCTGTTGCCCAGGCTGGAGTGCAGTGGCATGATCTTCAGTTTCTGCAACCTCTGCCTGCTGGGTTCAAGCGATTCTCCTGCTTCAGCCTTCCGAGTAGCTGGGGTTACAGGCGTGCACCACCACGCCCAGCTAAATTTTTTTTTTTTTTTAGTAGAAATGGAGTTGGGGTTTTGCCTCTTGGCCAGGCTAGTCTGAAACTCCTGACCTCGGGTGATCCACTTGTCTCAGCCGCCCACAGTGCCTGGAACCACCATGCCTGGCGCCAAACTAACTTTTTTCATGCAACTTGTTGTGACAAACTTAAGAATGGTTGTCAGAGATGACGGAAGAATTTTCTGATCTTACCCGCACTCCATCAGCGTTTGGAGACGATCTTTCTCCTGGTGTGAACTGGAGCTCATTGCTGGCAGTTGACACGTTTCCTGTTCAGCTCTTTTCTCCAGTTGATTAGGAAAAGTGTTTGGTCAGTTTCCTCACCTGTGACTAGGAAGCCCGAGGTGCGAGCGCCGTCAGACCCATTGCAGCGTCTGTTCTCTGCCTGCAGCACCCCTGAGCCTGTGTGACTCCTTTGGGTGTTGGGTGTCGGTTCCCATGGTGGCAGCATCCTGGGGGTGTCGGGAAACTGGGAGAGACAGTTTCCTGTGGTGGAGCGGGCAGTTGGACCTTTACAAGTCCCTTAGGAATCCTGTGAACTTGGATCCTCCAAAGCCAGGACGTTGGTCGATGGCCAACATGTTCTGATGAAATCTTCCCCAAGTCCACATCAGTTAGTCCTTTCAGTTTAAAGTAAAGCCTTAAACAAGCTCTGATGTTCAGATGTGGCTTTGTAATGGTCAGTTCTGGTTTGGTTGCTTTTGTGCAACTTGCTACAGAATTTTTATTTACTTATTTGAGACAAGGTCTTGCTCTGTCGTCCAGACTGGAGTGCAGTGACATGATCTCGGCTTACTACAGCCTGCTCGGGCTCAGGCAGTCCTACCACCTTAGCCTCCCGAGTAGTTGGTACCACAGGCACATGCTACCATGCCTGGGTGATTTTTAAATTATTTGTAAGACAAGGTCTTGCTGTGTTGCCCAGGCTGGTCTCAAACTCCCGGGCTCAAGCGATTGTCCCACCTCGGCCTCCCAAAGTACTAGGATACATGCCTGGCCCAAAATACTTTAAATATTTAATTTGATTCAGTTTTTTGTTTTGTTTCGTTTTGTTTTTTTGAGATGGAGACTTGCTCCATCACCCAGGCTGGATGCAATGGCGTGATCTCAGCTCACTGCAGCCTCCGCCTCCTGGGTTCAATTGATTTTCCTGCCTCAGCCTCCCAAGTAGCTGAGGTTGTAGGCAGTCACCACCACACCTAGCTGATTTTTATATTTTTAGTAGAGACAGCGTTTCACCGTGTTGGCCCAGCTGGTCTTTATCTCCTGACCTCGTGATCCGCCCGCCTCAGCCTCCTAAAGTGCTGGGATTACAGGCACGAGCCACCACGCCCAGCCTAGATTAAAAATTTTAAGATATGTTCTCTACTATGAGCCAATGAAATTACTCATTTTCCTTCTTTCCCATTTCCTATCCCTTGCTTTTGGAGTTTTGTGTCTTAGTGTGACTGTGACTCTTTCTCTCCTTTTGTCTTTCAGCAAACGGGGATTCAGCGTCCGATCCTTTGGAACAGGGACTCACGTGAAGCTTCCAGGACCAGCTCCCGACAAGCCCAATGTTTATGATTTCAAAACCACATATGACCAGATGTACAATGATCTTCTTAGGAAAGACAAAGAACTGTATCCCAGCGGGTTGCCCTTTAAAAACCCCCCGTGTGGTCCTTCCTGGAAAGTGTTACGTGTGGCTCGGGCACAGGAGGCGTGTCACCCTGTGCAGTGCACACACTGGCTCCTCCTGTATTTGCGAGAACTTGGTTTCTATTCCTGGTGCACATCGGATCGTCCACGGGTTAGTTCCAGTGCCACCCATGGCATTAGGCGTGGTGAGGCGCACAGACATGGTGTGGGGTTCACATTGACGTGGTCCAGCAGAGGGTTGTGACATAGCATGAACCAGGGATGCTTAGGTGAGGAGGTGGAACCCACAAAATCCCATTGCTTTTCACACTTCAGGGCTGCCCCGTTATTTCCTTTGCCAGGTAGGTGTGCGTGCATGTGTGTGTGTGTGTGCGCATGCATGCATGTCTGATACACACCGGGCTGCTTCACACATCTGGTGAGGTCCTTAGAGGGTCAGATAAAGAAGAGGGCCGAGCTTGCTACCCAAGCTGTTAGAAGAAATAATGGGAGAGAACGTTCCTTCATTTCGGGAGGACACAGAGCAGACTGGTCTGCCACTAAGACTCCTGTAGAGAGAAGAGTATTCAAATAGATTCTGATGGAGGCAACACCAGTTGCATAATGGTTGTGACGATCGGTGCCCAGGTTTTTGACCAGGCATTTCATGGTTACCCCCATGCTAATGAAAAGTTTCTGGATCTCATTTTGTGACAGTGAGTGCTTTGTAGTTCTCACAGCGGAGGCCGTACGTATTCCAAATGGAAAGAGAATGAGGCGTCAAGTGCACAACCTTTTGTCTTCATGTTGGCACTGCTGCCATTCCTGCCCTCGCCCAACATTGTCTTCATATTGGCACTCTTACCATCCCCACCCGTTCCCAACAGGGTCTCACTCTCACCCCAGCTGGAGTGCAGTGGCGAGATCTTGGCTCACTGCAGACTCACTGCAGCATTCGCCTCCCAGGTTCCAGCAATTTTCCTGCCTCAGCCTCTCAGGTAGCTGGGATGACAGGCGCCGCCACCACACCCGGCTAGTTTTTGTATTTTTAGTAGAGACGGGGTTTCACCATATTGGCCAGGCTGGTCTTGAACTCCTGACTTCAGGTGATCCACCCTTCTCAGCCTCCCAAAGTGCTGAGATTATAGGCGTGAGCCACCGTGCTTGGCCCTACTCTTGTTACCTTGTTTTTTTTTCTTTTTTTAAATGGAGTCTTACCCTGTTGTCCAAGCTGAAGTGCAGCGGCTTAATCTCGGCTCACTGCAGCGTCCCCCTCCCAAGTTCAAGCGATTCTCTGCCTCAGCCTCCCGTTGTAGTTGGGATTACAGGCACCCGCTACCATGCCTGGCTAATTTTTGTATTTTTAGTAGAGATAGGGTTTCACCAATTTGACCAGACTGGTCTTGAACTCTTGACCTTGTGATCCACCCGCCTCGGCCTCAAAGTGTTGGGATTACAGGCGTGAGCCACCGTGCCTGGCCTCTTGCAATTTTTAATAAGCTAAAAAAAAATTCTTATACACAGGTAGATTAATTAGGTAGCTAGGAAGGGCCCCTGAAAGTCTTTCTAGCAAAACTTAGAACTGGATCCTAGCCGTCACTGCACCTTCTGCCCTCCCTGCTGTCCTCTGTCAGTTACAGTTAAAAGGTGGTGGGTGAGGACGCTGGGCAGAGTCCAGGGCATCTGCTGTCAGCTCCCAAGCCCAGCCTGCCTGCTGAGCCATCTGGGCGTGCCGCAGTGGAGAGTGTGGTGCTGGGAGCCATCCTGGTGGCAGACGTGGGCTCACTGTGAGTCGGTGTAAGTCCCGGGGGACCGTCAGCAGCACGTCCTGCTGCCCCTGTCTCTGCAGAAGCCCTGGTACCCCGCGTGTGGAGAAACCTCCCTGAGGATTTCTGAGGAACTGTCAGTAGGCCGTGTCCTCGTCCGCCCCGTGTGGAGCACAGCTCCAACGTGGCTCTGCTCCCGTCGTGGGCTGAGGAGGACGGAGCAGGTCGGGCTGTGACATGCCCTTTGTGCGAGCTCCCGGTCCCTGCTGTCTCCACTCCTGAGCCTTACGGCGATGGGTGACCACAGAGCCCTTTCCAAGAGTCTGGTTTAGGGCTGGGTCTTCCCGTCGCCCTGGCGGAGGCTTTTGTCTCATATCATGATTCACATTAAACTCTGATGTGCCATGAAGCTTACCCTGAGATCCTGTTTTTGAAAATTACTCTTCAGTTAGCACTGTTCATTTTAAAATTCTTATATTCAGTAAGAGAAAGAAAAGCAGATAGTGATGCACGTCCTCACACTCCCTTGATTGGTGTACGCTCAGCCCTTCATGTCAGCCCACTGTGACCTCCTGGGTTCTGGACCTGGGAAGTACTTGCCACGTTCTGCGAGGACTGAGTCCAGCTTCAGCAGACTCATCCGGAAGGACTTGCTAGAGGGAGAGAATGAGCCTGTCTCTGGTCATTCTAGAAGAAGGAGCTGAGCCCAGTGTCCCAGAATTTGGAAGCTCCTCCTTTACAGAGGAACTGTAGGGGTTGGTGGTCTCCCAGGAAGCATCCGCCCAGAAGAGCCCCGCGTGCGTGCGTGCGCTCTAGGTGTGTGGTGGGGAAGGAGTGGCGGCAGGGCTGCTGTGGCCATGGGGGTGGCGCTGGGACATTGTAAGCCACAGGCTCTGCCTTGGGGACCTCTTGTGGGAAACCGTCGCCTGTGGTGGCCCCTGAGGAGGTGCTGGGAGGAGCGTGCCTTCATCGCCTTGCTTACTTCGCTCGGGGGCAAAAGGTGCAGAATGGTGAGCCTGCCACTTAGCTAAAGCTCTTCCACATGTTGCCCTCGGCCTGGAAAGGAGTGAAGTCCCCAGGCTGTTCCCTGTGGACATCAGCACGATGCCGGGTAGGGCCTCAGGGGTGTTGAGATACGCAGGTCGGGGGGACCCCGATAGCGTTTCCTGGTTAGTGATGGGGGCAGAGGGCCTATGGGAAGTAACTGTTGCAAGTGAGAGCCCCCAAAGCAAATCTGCCCCCCAGCAGCTAGTGTGTTGGCAGAAGTCATGGCTGTAGACTGCAGTGGAAGCAAGAAGGGGTTTCAAACTGCAGTGGAAGCAGATCTTGAGGTCAGAAGTTTGAGACCAGCCTGGCCAGCATAGTGAAACCCCGTTTCTACTAAAAACACAAAAATTATCCAGGCGTGGTGGCGACGCCTGTAGTCCCTGCTACTCGGGAGGCTGAGGCCGGAGGATGGCAGGGACCCGGGGGGGGCAGCTTGCAGTGAGCCGAGATTGTGCCCCTGCGCTCCAGCCTGGGCAACAGAGTGACACTCTGTCTCCAAAAAAAAAAAAAAAAAAAGGATGATGTGACTTCGGAGGAAAATGCTGCTTGTTCAGAGGCAGGGCCGGGGTCGAGGGGGACCCTACCACCTCTGCCATCTGCCTACTTGCCTCGTGGCCAGGGCCTGGGTTTCTCTGTGTGTACCAACCTCACAGAATTTCTGATAATTAAATTAGGAGATGCACACACACAGCCTGAGACAGAGTGTTTTAAAGCCCTCAATAAATTTTGGCCAGTTTTCCTATTAGTATTGTAATACTTAATTTATTTTATTTATTTTTTTAGATACGGGTCTTGCTGTGTTACCCAGGTTTGTCTCGAACTCCTGGCCTCGAGTGATCCTCACACCTTAGCCTTCCAGAGTACTTGGATTATAGGCGTGAGCCACTGTTCTCAGCTTTCATTTCTGAATGAAAATCTCCTTGACTTTCTGTGAGGTTACCTGCTGGTAAACCCATGCTAAAGTCAAAAAATCCTACAATGAACCGGAGTAGGTTAGAGACTGACTGTATTTGGCTATAGATAGCTGATTGTTTTTTTCCCCACAAGCCAGAAGTGAGCCTGAGGGGTTGAGGGACTTGCTGCCTCCGAAACCTCCCTTGGGGATCGTCGAGGGCGCGAGTCTAGGTTTGCAGCACTGGGATGCGAACCCTCTGTAAAGTTAAATGAGGCCCTGCGCGGGGGCCACGCCTGCACTCCCAGCCTAGGGAGACCCAGGCAGGAGGCTCACTTGAGCCCAGGAGCCAGAGGCCAGCCTGGGCAACATAGCAAGCCTCCATCTCTACAAAAAACACAGAATTGAAGTGGGTGTGGTGGACACTCCTCTGGTCTCACAGCCACTCAGAAAGCCGAGGCAGCAGACCACCTGAGCCCAGCAGGCTTCACTGAGCTGTGATTGCGCCGCTGCACTCCGTGCAGCCTGAGGAAGAGAATAAGACGGTCTCTTTTTTAAAAAGTTTCGTATCAGGCCGGGTGCGGTGGCTCAAGCCTGTAATCCCAGCACTTTGGGAGGCCGAGACGGGCGGATCACGAGGTCAGGAGATCGAGACCATCCTGGCTAACACCAATGAAACCCCGTCTCTTACTAAAAAATCAAAAAAAACTAGCGGAGAGGTGCGGGCCTTGTGTAGTCCCAGCTACTTGGGGGAGGCTGGGCAGAGGAATGGGCCTAAACCGGGAGGCGGAGCTTTGCGTGCGAGCATCCGGCACTGCACTCCAGCGCTGGGCGGACAGACGCGAGACTGCCGTCTTCAAAAAAAAAAAAAAGTTTCGTATCGTGACATTTTCTTTTATTTTTTTTTCTTTTTTTTTTTTTTGAGACAGAGTCTTGCTCCTGATCGCCCAGGCTGGAAGTGCAGTGGTGCGATCTCGGTCACTGCAAACTCCACCTCCCGGGGTTCACGCCATTTCATCCTCCTAGCTCGCCGAGTAGCTGGGACTCAGGGCCCACCAACCACGCCCGCGAATTTTTTGTAATTTTTAGTAGGACCAGGGTCTGTCCCTGTGTTAGCTTAGGGCATGGTGTCAATCTCCTGACCTCGTTGATCTGCTCGCCTCAGCCTTCCAAAGTGCTGGGATTACAGGCGTGAGCCACCACACCTGGCCTGTATCGACATTTCCTTTTGAGAATTAATAGTATATATACATGGGACTGGATGCAGTGGCTTACACCTGTAATCCCAATGCTGGGAG